GCACTGAGAGGGTGGGTAACAAGACCAACCAACAGATCAGTTGTCGCCAGGTTACGGTACAAGAGTTTGGACGGAGGATGAAGGGAAGATTCTCTGCGAAGGGCAACTAGGATTAGAGAATTCCCAAGAGTTGCAGTTAGGGCGAGGAATATGTTTACCACTGCGAGATGAATTAATGGTTGTTGTAATCCACCTGTAAAAGATCGAGGTAGAGCATACCAGCTCTTGAAATGTTCTTATCCGCATTTCATCTCTTGTTAAATTGTTTGCCGCCATGATTCCAATTTCGTTTCTTTTTTGTTTAAAGAGTTACCTGAGATTGCAACGAAAGATCTGTCGTCTCAGCAATATCCACCAAGATACGATTAGTGAAACCTGCATGACTTCCTTGGAAATGTTTACATTAAGACTTCCTTAGCGATCACTAAATAACCTACGCAAGAACACCGATTATAAAGTCAAAAAATATATATTTTTGTCGAGTTTTGCATGTGCCTCAGGCGTAAATTAGCAAAATGACGCAGGCATAAGGAATCTATAAAATCACTATCTTATTGCTCGACAAGTACTTGCTTCTTACCTAGATAATTTTTTTTTAACAGGTTAAAAAATCAATAAAGTTGCGTGAGGTTGAAAAGAATTAGAATCAGAATCATCCTCTGTGAGCTGAAAAGGGAAAGTCCTCACAAGCGACGTTGATGGGTTTTGGATAAAATTGAAGTCGCGACATTCTCCTAGTAAGTAAAACTAAACAATGTTGCTGTTATTCGCTGATACCAATATTTCCTAGGATATTGCAATTCAATATTTTAATCAATAAAGCTTTCTAGCTTTTTACTTTCCGTTTCGCGCCTTAATGGTGGAAACGGTGACAGAAGCAAGATACTATGCTCGCTTTTGTTACGTTATTTATTCCATTTTGCTTTCATTTGCCCTCTCCACTTATTCCAGAACATTCAATGTAATCAGGTCTAATTATCTCCAATGATCAGAAGCAAAGGTAAATTTACCTCCTACTAACAGATAATTCAAAAGCTCTCCTTTACAACTCTTTCAAGTTCAAGTTCATCCCACACTTCCTCTTACTAAGAAAACAAGAAAAGGGAGTAATATCGAGCTTACTTATCGTTTCTTTCTCATGCGTCCAAAACGCGAAACGCCGGAATGTAAAGTATCCTCGGATAGGGACGATAAATGGAGGTCCCGTCACCAGCAGGGTTGGGGTAGGAGACGTTAATTTCTCACACACGAGATTACTGTGTGATGGATGTCCTCCCCGGGTTGGGATGGGTGGGTAATAAAGGGGTTAGGTGTCAATTGGAACGAAAGTTCTGTTCCTTTCTCCTCCCATTCCTGTGGCGAACAAATTAAACTTAACTAAACTAAAAGAATGGAAGGCATTTTCGGTTGCAAATTTAAATATTTGAAGATATTTTGGCAACTGCGACCAAACTTTAACATAGAACAGTTTGAATAACTTGGCGATTATCACGTATTCGATTTATGCAAAACCGCAATTTACATCTCTGGCGAGGATTTTGTACTGTTACCCTGAACTTCCCACAAGTTATCTTGTATGTAACTTATCTTGGTAATAACAGCTTATCCAAATATGAAAAGAAGCAGCATTTATAAAGCTGTGGAATAATGATATTAGAGATTTATGATGCTTACCGCATTTTGCCATTCATGCCTGAGGGGCAGGAAAAAATTTAAGAAAAAAAGGAGCTTTTTTTGACCCAAAGTTTATCTTCTTGTGCAGTTTATTGCATGACCTCCCCAAGAAAACCTTACATTCTCATCTTTAAGAAAGTAGGATTTCAGTGGTCATACCTGGGCGGGTGTTGTTAAGACGAAATATACCTCGTTGCAATCCCAAGAAAAACCTTTAAAAATGATCGATACCAATCATCTAACAGGAGGTGAGACATAAACATATCAAGAACTGGTGTGTTCCCCCCCTTTTGGCTGGGAAGGTGAGATCGATATGGACTGAAGCGGCTGCCAGAGGCGCCTGAGAAAATGCCGACGTCTGTTCTCAACCTTAACAACATCTCATTGTAACAAACCTGTAATTCAATTCTCTGCAAAAGGTTTGAATAAACATCATTACATTAGTATAACATCATATTAGTATCAAGAACTGGTATGTTCCCCCCTTTAGGCAGGTGAATTACCACAGCAATCAATTCATCTGAAGTTATGAAATATTAACGACATTCTCCGAGTAAGTAAAACTAAACAATGTTGCTGTTATTCGCTGATACCAATATTTCCTAGGATATTGCAATTCAATATTTTAATCAATAAAGCTTTCTAGCTTTTTACTTTCCGTTTCGCGCCTTAATGGTGGAAACGGTGACAGAAGCAAGATATTATTCTCGCTTTTGTTGCGTTATTTATTCCCTTTTGCTTTCATTTGCCTTCTCCACTTATTCCAGAACATTCAATGTAATTAGGTCGAATTATCTCTAATGATCAGAAGCAAAGGTAAATTTACCTTTTCCTAACAGATAATTCAAAAGCTCTCCTTTACAACTCTTTCAAGTTCAAGTTCATCCCACACTTCCTGTTACTAA